AATTAAAGGGGTGGACCGGTAAGCCAGCGGGAGGCCTCGGTCAGATGACCAAAAGCTCCAGCTGTGGGCCATTATATGACTAAGACCAGCGTCAGGAAACACTTGTCCTGTTTCCTGACAAACCTTACCTAACCTAACCTAATGACTGTCATTAGGTTAGGTGGTCTTCAAGACTGAGGGACTGATTACCTCATCTTTCGCATATAGTTCTTCACATTACGTCCTTGTATAGTATGGATAAATTATTATTATTATAATCAAGGGGGAAGCGCTAAACCCGGAGGATTATACAGCGCCTGGGGGGGGGATGTGGAAGGCATTCAGGCTTAATTCGGGGAACTGGAGCACAGATCCAATTCCCTAAATCAAGAGCCCCTCACCAACATCAAGGAACCTTGAGGGGAGTATGGATAAAGCCACCGGCTGGGCGAAACGTATAAAATAAAGATCCCCAGGTGTTGCACATATGTCTAGTTCTCCACACTGTATACTGTGACATTTGTAGATGAATGGTTCAGAGAACCGACATGTTGATAAATTAGACACATGTGCAACTCTTGGGTATCTTTATTGAGGAAACGTTTCGCCACACAGTGGCTTCATCAGTCTATACAAAGGAGAATCTTGAAGAACAGGAGGAGAATGAGGTAATCAGTCCCTCAACATGTCGGTTTTCTGAACCATTCATCTACAAACCTGTCAGACACTGCAACTTCTTGGGATCTTAATACTTAGGAATTCTTCGCTTGCCTAATTCTTGGGCACGACCTACTTCCACATTGAACAAATGTGACACCACCTATGACTGCTACACCTCTCCTGCCATACGGTTTATAAGCTGCTTCTCCGCTGATATACCGTATTCTATTCAAGATTGATGGACTGAACACATCGACTCAAGGTTGAGGGACTGATTACCTCATTCTCCTCCTGTTCTTCAAGTTTCTCCTACGTATGGACTGATGAAGTCACTGTGTGGCGAAACGTTTCCTCAATAAAGATACCCAAGAGTTGCACATGTGTCTAATTTATCATACTGTGACATACTTAAACTCACGCATCTGAACCTAAGTTGTTTATGTGGTAATGTGTGTTTTTTCGGTGTTTTGTTAAATATTCTTTAATATCTTTTATTAATTTCCTCTACCTCAGTAACTTACTAATAAATACCTCACACTTTATTATTATTATTGCTATTATTAGTGTGATTAATACTCTTATAATTAGTTTCTATTATTGCGGTTATTAGTATTATTGCTGTTATTAATTCTATGATTATTATTGTTGCTATTATTTGTTATTAATACTATTATTGTCGCTATTATGTTATTATTATTATTATTATTATTATAATTATTATTATTATTATTATTATTATACTGTTATTATTATTATTATTATTATTATTATTATTATTATTATTATTATTACTGTTATTATTATTATTATTATTATTATTATTATTATTACTGTTATTATTATTATTATTATTATTATTATTACTGTTATTATTATTATTATTATTATTATTATTATTATTATTATTATTATTATTATTATTATTATTATTATTATTATTACAATTGCAAGTTTACCGGCTTTCGTGATGATGTCTCGGTGAAGAAGAAAGTCCGGACACTAGTCTCCTAAATGGTCTCTGCGACCATTTAGGAGACTAGTGTATAAACGGTTTAAAAAAACCCGTAAGTTGTTGATAACCGAGACACTGGGGCAACATTTTGGCAATCTATATACTGGGGAAAACGTTTCGCCCGCCAGCGCCTTCTTCAGTCCAATACGGGGAGAAGAACGGAAGGAGTGTTGGAGTTTTACGGCAGTGTCCTGCTGGTGTTGACTTAAGGGCTCATGTCAGCGCCCCGGGGTAGGTGACTGGCCGGCCAGACAGCCGGGTAGGCCGCTCCTTAACCCGGCTGTATATCCACAGCCTAGAGAATCCATATTGAAAGAAATGGTTGTAACCACAACCATAGTTTTGAAGGGGTGGAGGGGTAAACCGGTGGAAGGACTCGGTCAGATGACCAAAAAGCTCCTGACAAACTTTACCTAGCTTTAACCTAACCTTGCCTAGCTTTAACCTAACCTTGCCTAGCTTTAACCTAACCTTGCCTAGCTTTAACCTAACCTTGCCTAGCTTTAACCTAACCTTGCCTAGCTTTAACCTAACCTTGCCTAGCTTTAACCTAACCTTGCCTAGCTTTAACCTAACCTTGCCTAGCTTTAACCTAACCTTGCCTAGCTTTAACCTAACCTTGCCTAGCTTTAACCTAACCTTGCCTAGCTTTAACCTAACCTTGCCTAGCTTTAACCTAACCTTGCCTAGCTTTAACCTAACCTTGCCTAGCTTTAACCTAACCTTACCTAGCTTTAACCTAACCTTGCCTAGCTTTAACCTAACCTTGCCTAGCTTTAACCTAACCTTGCCTAGCTTTAACCTAACCTTGCCTAGCTTTAACCTAACCTTGCCTAGCTTTAACCTAACCTTGCCTAGCTTTAACCTAACCTTGCCTAGCTTTAACCTAACCTTGCCTAGCTTTAACCTAACCTTGCCTAGCTTTAACCTAACCTTGCCTAGCTTTAACCTAACCTAACCTGACCTAACATTTCCTAAGCTAAACTACTTTGTTGACACTACGTTCAAGTTTCTAGCTAGTAGCAGCAGAATAGAGCCTACATTCTAGTCTTTAAAGCCTATTTCTAGCCTTTGGCAACTAATGCCAGTTCTAATATACAACTATCAATGCTAGTATTACTAGTACTACTGACTCTACCGCAACTTCTACGAGACTATGACTACGACTGTAGACTACTACATTAGTGATGTATTGGATATCCGCACCCGTCGCATCCACACGAACTTAAGCCTATCTTACGACTACAATAGCAATAGCTAATTAATTACTCATATGTAAGGGGAGTAGGGGTAAGTGCCAGACAAGCTCACACAGTGAGGTCCGTGGTTCGACCCCCGGTACGACTGGAGACATTAGGACGCGTTTCCTTTAGACACCTGTCGTCCATGTTCACCTAGCAGTAAGCAGGTACCTGGGTGTTAGTCACCTTACACCTGGTGTCCCTGTTCAACCAGCAGTAAGTAGGTACCCAGGTGTTAGTCGACTGGTGTGGGTGGAATTCTGGGGAACAAAATTAACCAAAGTTGCGGGAAATGCCTTACATAACCAGGGGTTTTCTATATAGTATGTCGTTGATGTCAACTATGGTCTTTATAAGTTGGATCACGTACATGTAGACATTAAGATAATTATGAGTATTATTATTATTATTATTAATGCTGTTATTTGAACAACGTTACCATCTGTTTAGATCTTCCCCTAGATCAACATTCAACGACAAGGAAGGGTCGCAAGTTGGTTCCTGAGAGGCCGCATGCGGCATGCAATGCGGCTGCGACGTGTCTCTGAACTCTAGGGTATTGAACTGCCAAATTTAAGGCAGTGAAAAAGTTTGATCTCAAACGTCTGGGAAAAAGGTTCTGGGCCTGTACATGTACACTTGTCTATCTTACCATTATGTACATGTACACTTGTCTATCTTACCATTGTGTACATGTACACTTGTTTATCTTACCATTGTGTACATGTACACTTGTTTATCTTACCATTGTGTACATGTACACTTGTTTATCTTACCATTATGTACATGTACACTTGTTTATCTTACCATTATGTACATGTACACTTGTCTATCTTACCATTATGTACATGTACACTTGTTTATCTTACCATTATGTACATGTACACTTGTTTATCTTACCATTATGTACATGTACACTTGTCTATCTTACCATTATGTACATGTACACTTGTCTATCTTACCATTGTGTACATGTACACTTGTCTATCTTACCATTGTGTACATGTACACTTGTCTATCTTACCATTGTGTACATGTACACTTGTCTATCTTACCATTATGTACATGTACACTTGTTTATCTTACCATTGTGTACATGTACACTTGTTTATCTTACCATTGTGTACATGTACACTTGTTTATCTTACCATTATGTACATGTACACTTGTTTATCTTACCATTGTGTACATGTACACTTGTCTATCTTACCATTATGTACATGTACACTTGTTTATCTTACCATTGTGTACATGTACACTTGTTTATCTTAATAATGTGTACATGTACACCTGTTTATCCTACCATCGTGTACATGTACACCTCTTTACCCTAGAAGTTGGTGTACATGTACATCTGTTTATCCTACCATTGTGTACATGTACACCTCTTTACCCTAGAAGTTGGTGTACATGTACACTTATTTATCCTACCATCGTGTACATGTACACCTCTTTACCCTAGAAGTTGGTGTACATGTATACTTATTTATCCTACCATCGTGTACATGTACACCTCTTTACCCTAGAAGTTGGTGTACATGTACACTTATTTATCCTACCGTCGTGTACATGTACACCTCTTTACCCTAGAAGTTGGTGTACATGTACAATTCACAATGTACTCACCTATATATGACTGCAGGGGTCGAGTCTCAGCTCCTGGCCCCTACCTCTTCCCAGAGTAACCCTTAGCCTCATGGTTATACGTGTGTGTGTGTGTGTGTGTGTGTGTGTGTATGTGTGTGTGTGTGTGTGTGTGTGTGTGTGTGTGTGTGTGTGTGTGTGTGTGTGTGTGTGTGTGTGTGTGTGATGGTATTATAGGTCCTATCGTACCTAGTATTGAAGCCACGTACATGTGGTGATAATGTAGCCTGTTGTACCCAGTACTGAAGCCACGTACATGTGGGGATAATGTAGCCTGTTGTACCCAGTACTGAAGCCACGTACATGTGGGGATAATGTAGCCTGTTGTACCCAGTACTGAAGCCACGTACATGTGGGGATAATGTAGCCTGTTGTACCTAGTATTGAAGCCACGTACATGTCCTGGTATTACACACTGTCGTACCTAGTCTTGAAGCCACGTACAAGTATTGGTGTTGCAGGTGTGGTTCCAGAACCGGCGTGCCAAGTGGAAGAAACGCAAGAAGAGCAGTTCAGTGTTCAGGTCTGCTGGTTCACTACTGCCCTCACCCTCCCTGCCGCCCTTCCCGCCCATGGGCGGCGATTCCTTCTGTGGCACCATGTTCCCTTCCTCGGACACCCGCTGGACCATGGGCGGCATGACGCCCATCAATACCGGTACGTGGGCGGCTCCTGGTGTGTATATAATATATATATATATATAATATATATATATATATATATATATATATATATATATATATATATATATATATATATATATATATATATAATATAATATATAGGGAAGTACCACCTCTATAGCTGGAATGGGGACCCTTATCCTCAGAGAAGACAATAAACGTACCTCAGGGAAAACTCAAGGTTCTCCCCGGAGCTGTTTGAATATTTTCTTCTCCTACCACCCCCTATATTATATTCTAAGTGAACATTTATTAATAAACAAAATACATTTACAGAAAAAAACATAAACATGAATACAATGGCACAATGTATATATATATATATATAATATATATATATATATATATATATATATATATATATATATATATATATATATATATATATATATTATATAGAGAGAGAGAGAGAGAGAGAGAGAGAGAGAATGTAATGTTTATAATTCATAACTTGAGAAGGTCACGTCTGGGAACTTTTAACATGACATCACCTCACATAATGAAGCTATGACATGAGTGAGATGAAGTGACATGAGTAAGGCATGCCATGACTGAGATGACCTCATGTTTCAGGTGTGGGTAGTGGCACTCTGGGGTTGACATCACCTCTACAGCGCCAAGGACTGGGCCAGCTTGGTCAAGGCGGCATGAGTATCTCCCAGTCCTTCAGCCAGTCCCTCGGCCAGGGCTTTGGCCAAGGGTTCGGACAGGGGCTGGGCCAGGGGCTGGGACTAGGCCAGGGTCAGGGGCTGGGTCAGGGGCTGGGGCAGGGGCTGGGTCAGGGGCTGGGACAGGGTCTGGGTCAGGGTCTAGGGGGCTCAACGTCGCCCATACCGTCAGGGTTGTCGAACATGGGCGGCACACCACCCACCTCCATGTACCAACCACACTACCAGGCCTTCAGTTCTCTCAACACCGCCCTGGGTGAGTACGCAGGTGAGCTTACATAGGTCGTTACCTGATGATGTTGCTGCTGTTCCTATTACCACACCCACAATCACACACTCTACACCCAAACACTCACACCCACAATCACACTCCACACCCACACACCCACTATCACACACTCCACACACACACACACCCACTCCACACACCCACACTCACACCCACTATCACACACTCCACACACACTCACACCCACACACTCCACACCCACACACTCACACCCGCAATCACACACTCCACACCCACACACTCACACCCACTATCACACACTCCACACACACTCACACCCACACACTCCACACCCACACACTCACACCCACAATCACACACTCCACACCCAAGCACTCACACCCACAATCACACATTCCACACCCACACACACTCACAATCACACTCCACACCCAAACACTCACACCCACAATCACACTCCACACCCACACACACACCCACTATCCACACACTCCACACCCACATACACCCACAATCACACATTCCACACCCACACACACCCACAGTCACACATTCCACACCCACAATCACACACTCAACATCCACACACTTACCCACAATCACACTCCACACACACACCCCACAATCACACTCCACACCCACACACTCACCCACAATCACACTCCACACACAACACACACACCCACCCACACCCACAATCACACTCCACACACACAACCCACAATCACACTCCACACACACATACCCACAATCACACTCCACACCCACACACTCACCCACAATCACACTCCACACACACACACCCACCCACACCCACCCACAATCACACTCCACACACACACACACACCCACAATCACACTCCACACCCACACACCCACCCACAATCACACTCCACACACCCACACACACCTACAATCACACTCCACACACACACACCCACAATCACACTCTACACACACACACACACACACTCACCCACAATCACACTCCACACACACACACACCCACAATCACACTCCACACCCACACACTCACCCACAATCACACTCCACACCCACATACACCCACAATCACACTCCACACACCCACCCACACACCCACAATCACACTCCACAACCCACACACTCACCCACAATCCACACTCCACACCCACAATCACACTCCACACACACCCACCCACACACACCCACAATCACACTTCACACACACACCCACCCACACAACACCCACAATCACACTCCACACACACACCCACCCACACACACCCCAATCACACTCCACACCCACACACTCACCCACAATCACACTCCACACCCACACACAATCACACTCCACACCCACACACTCACCCACAATCACACTCCACACACCCACACACTCACCCATAATCACACTCCACACCCACACACTCACCCACAATCACACTCCACACACACACACACACACACACCCACAAACACACACACACCCACACTCCACACCCACACACCCACAATCACACTCCACACCCACACACTCACCCACAAATCACACTCCATACCCACACACTCACCCACAATCACACTCCACACCCACACACTCACCCACAATCACACTCCACACACACACACACCCACAAACACACACACACACTCACAAACAAACACACCCACAAACACACACACACACCCACAAAACACACACACACACACACACACACACTCACCCCACAATCACACTCCACACACACACACACACACACACACACACACACACACCCACAAAACACACACACACACACACACACACACACACACACACACACACACACACACACACACACACACACACACACACACACCCACACACTCACCCACAATCATACTCCACACACACACACACACACAAACACACACACACACACACACACACACACACACACACACACAAGACCCAGCTATCACCTTCCCAGCCTGACACTCTCATAACATCAACAAATTCACTCGACATCAGCCTAGTTGCTACTAATATATTCTGCTATAAGAATATAAGAACAATATCTATACACTGGTTTTTAACCTATGGATTTTGTTGATTTAAAACAAAACTTTTATTCTCATACAGCCAAAAAAACTAAATAAATAAAATCGCGCTAATAAAGCCTATTGACTGAAACCTATTAACTCTCCCGGGCTATTTTTTCCCAGTCTTAAAAAAAGATAGCATTAGGATGTTAAAAATTGAGTATACGTTATATCTATAAATTTCCTGTACACAACGTGATTTTCTGTGTAAATACGACTGTAAAAGTTGCAAGTAAAACCTGACCTAAAACTGAATATCACGTAGTACATTATTTTCTATTTTGATACGAAGTCAATGGTTCAGAAACTTCAGAAACTGAAGAATTAAGACACAGGGAATCGTAATGACACGACTGTAAACAAACCCGTACCACGGGTGTGGCTAGCTGGCCCAGTGGCTAACACGACGGTCTGGAGTTACCACGGGTGTGGCTAGCTGGCCCAGTGGTTAACACGAAGGTCTGGAGTTACCACGGGTGTGGCTAGCTGGCCCAGTGGCTAACACGACGGTCTGGAGTTACCACTGGTGTGGCTAGCTGGCCCAGTGGTTAACACGACGGTCTGGAGTTACCACTGGTGTGGCTAGCTGGCCCAGTGGCTAACACGACGGTCTGGAGTTACCACTGGTGTGGCTAGCTGGCCCAGTGGTTAACACGACGGTCTGGAGTTACCACTGGTGTGGCTAGCTGGCCCAGTGGTTAACACGACGGTCTGGATACCACTGGTGTGGCTAGCTGGCCCAGTGGTTAACACGACGGTCTGGAGTTACCACTGGTGTGGCTAGCTGGCCCAGTGGTTAACACGACGGTCTGGAGTTACCACTGGTGTGGCTAGCTGGCCCAGTGGTTAACACGAAGGTCTGGAGTTACCACGGTGTGGCTAGCTGGCCCAGTGGTTACACGACGGTCTGGAGTTACCACGGGTGTGGCTAGCTGGCCCAGTGGTTAACACGACGGTCCTGGAGTTACCACTGGTGTGGCTAGCTGGCCCAGTGGTTAACACGACGGTCTGGAGTTTACCACTGGTGTGGCTAGCTGGCCCAGTGGTTAACACGACGGTCTGGAGTTACCACGGGTGTGGCTAGCTGGCCCAGTGGTTAACACGACGGTCTGGAGTTACCACGGGTGTGGCTAGCTGGCCCAGTGGTTAACACGACGGTCTGGAGTTACTACTGGTGTGGCTAGCTGGCCCAGTGGTTAACACGACAGTCTGGAGTTACCACTGGTGTGGCTAGCTGGCCCAGTGGTTAACACGACGGTCTGGAGTTACCACGGGTGTGCTAGCTGCCCATGGTTAACACGACGGTCTGGAGTTACCATGGGTGTGGCTAGCTGGCCCAGTGGTTAACACGACGGTCTGGAGTTACCACGGGTGTGGCTAGCTGGCCCAGTGGTTAACACGACGGTCTGGAGTTACCACGGGTGTGGCTAGCTGGCCCAGTGGTTAACACGACGGTCTGGAGTTACCACGGGTGTGGCTAGCTGGCCCAGTGGTTAACACGACGGTCTGGAGTTACAAAGGGTGTGGCTAGCTGGCCCAGTGGTTAACACGACGGTCTGGAGTTACCACGGGTGTGGCTAGCTGGCCCAGTGGGTTAACACGACGGTCTGGAGTTACCACGGGTGTGGCTAGCTGGCCCAGTGGTTAACACGACGGTCGGAGTTACCACTGGTGTGGCTAGCTGGCCCAGTGGTTAACACGACGTCTGGAGTTACCACTGGTGTGGCTAGCTGGCCCAGTGGTTAACACACGGTCTGGAGTTACCACGGGTGTGGCTAGCTGGCCCAGTGGTTAACACGACGGTCTGGAGTTACACGGGTGTGGCTAGCTGGCCCAGTGGTTAACACGACGGTCTGGAGTTACCACGGGTGTGGCTAGCTGGCCCAGTGGCTAACACGACGGTCTGGAGTTACCACGGGTGTGGCTAGCTGGCCCAGTGGTTAACACGACGGTCTGGAGTTTAGCTGGCCCAGTGGTTAACACGACGGTCTGGAGTTACCACGGGTGTGGCTAGCTGGCCCAGTGGTTAACACGACGGTCTGGAGTTACCACGGGTGTGGCTACTGGCCCAGTGGTTAACACGACGGTCTGGGAGTTACCACGGTGTGGCTAGCTGGCCCAGTGGCTAACACGACGGTCTGGAGTTACCACGGGTGTGGCTAGCTGGCCCAGTGGTTAACACGACGGTCTGGAGTTACCACGGGTGTGGCTAGCTGGCCCAGTGGTTAACACGACGGTCTGGAGTTACCACGGGTGTGGCTAGCTGGCCCAGTGGTTAACACGACGGTCTGGAGTTACCACGGTGTGGCTAGCTGCCCAGTGGTAACACGACGGTCTGGAGTTACCACGGGTGTGGCTAGCTGGCCCAGTGGTTAACACGACGGTCTGGAGTTTAACCACGGTGTGGCTAGCTGGCCCAGTGGTTAACACGACGGTCTGGAGTTACTACTAGTGTGGCTAGCTGGCCCAGTGGTTAACACGACGGTCTGGAGTTACCACTGGTGTGGCTAGCGGGCCCAGTGGTTTAACACGACGGTCTGGAGTTACCACGGGTGGTGGCTAGCTGGCCCAGTGGTTAACACGACGGTCTGGAGTTACCAGGGGTGTGGCATAGCTGGCCCAGTGGTTAACCCACGACGGTCTGGAGTTCCCCACGGTTGGCTAGCTGGCCCAGTGGTTAACACGACGGTCTGGAGTTAACCACGGGTGTGGCTAGCTGGCCCAGTGGTTAACACGACGGTCTGGAGTTACCACGGGTGTGGCTAGCTGGCCCAGTGGTTAACCCCGACGGTCTGGAGTTACCAAGGGTGTGGCTAGCTGGCCCAGTGGTTAACACGACGGTCTGGAGTTACCACGGGTGTGGCTAGCTGGCCCAGTGGTTAACACGACGGTCTGGAGTTACCACTTTGTGTGGCTAGCTGCCCAGTGGTTAACACGACGGTCTGGAGTTACCA